CATGGATATGATGCATCGAGTTTGTAAACATTTTCTCGATAAATCAATAATAGTGTTTATTGATGATATCTTGATTTACTCCAAAAACAATCAAGATCATGGTAAACACCTCCGAGAAGTACTAGAAATCCTTAAGAGGGAGAAGTTGTGTAAAGTTCTCCAAGTGTGACTTTTGGATACGAGAGATACAATTCTTGGGTCATATTGTTAATCGGGAAGGCATTATGGTTGACCTAACAAAGATAGAAGCTGTGATGAAATGGGAGACGCCAAGGAGTCCCACCGAAATTCGTAGTTTTCTGGGATTAGCGGGTTACTATCAAAGATTCATCCAAATATTTTCATCTATTGCGGCTCCATTGACAGCCCTAGCCAAAAAAGGAGTTGCCTATACTTGGAGTGAGAAGCAAGAAAAAGTTTTTATTGAATTAAAGAAGAGGTTATGTGAAGCACCAATCCTCGTCCTACCTGAAGGAACTGGTGAATTTGCAGTTTTCAGTGACGCTTCTATGATTGGATTGGGATGTGTCCTTACCCAAAGGAACAAAGTAGTAGCTTACGCCTCGAGACAGTTGAAGCCCCACGAGCAAAATTATTCGACACATGATCTAGAGCTTGCATAAATGGTTTTTGCCTTAAAGATATGGAGACAATAGCTTTATGGAACCAAATGCAAACTTTATATAGATCATAAAAGCCTTATATCTCTTTGCTCGGAAAGAATTGAACATGAGACAAAGGCGATGGATGGAGCTACTCAAGGACTACGATTGCGAGATACTTTACCACCCAGGTAAAGCAAATATCGTAGCTAACGCCCTAAGTAGAAAGGTGATTTCGGAGGAAAAAAGATCTAGATCGTTGAGTATTGAACTGATCTCAACGATTTTGGAAAAGATAGACGAGGCTCATATGTGGGCTCTGGCATAAGGTGATAAAAAGGAAGAACGTCTAGGCAAGACGTTTGTGTTTGAAGAAGATAAGCAGGGGTTAAAGACGTTCAAGAATTGCATTTGGTTGACAAAGTTGGGTGGTATACGAGATCTTCTTATGGACGAATCACATAAGACCATGTATTTTATACACCCAGACAACACCAAAATGTACTTGGACTTAAAACTCTATTACTAGTGGCAGACAATGAAGGTCGACGTGACAACTTACGTAGCCGAATGCGTAACTTGTGTAAGAGTAAAGTCACAACATCAGAAACCATAGGGAGCTTGGAACCCTTACCGGTACCCACATGGAAGTGGGATGGTGTTACGATGGACTTTATAACAAAGTTGCCAAAGACAAAGAGAGGCCACGACATGATCTGGGTTATAGTAGACCGAATTACAAAGAGTGCGCATTTCATTGCAGCACGAGAAAATTGGTCTATGGAGAAATTGGCTGAGACCAATGTAGAGGAAATTATCAGGATACATGGAGTACCTTTATCTATCGTGTCAAATAGGAACATTCGATTCACTTTCAAATTCTGGAAAATTTTGCAGTATACAATGGGCACGAAGTTGTGTGCTTAAGTACTGCCTATCATCCACAAACGAACATCATCCACAAACGAACGGACAAATTTATGCATTTATCTAACACAAAAAGAATCTTCACTTCATGCCTACACATATTTTAAAGAGTAAAGTAAAGAAATAGGATATGCACTTGTCTTAAAGTGTCATTTTGAGCCCAATTTTCTTTTCCTAACTATTGTGTCAATAAGTCTTACCTTTGTTCGTATTTTGGTTTATGATAAATTTGATATGGTTGCAATATCATTTTATGGGTTTTTTAATTATCGTTACATATATTTAAGAGTTAATGTCATACAAACTACTAAGTTTACGTCACAATTTATAATTAGTCCTAATTCATTTTATTTTTTATTTGCTGTTAATTCTAAGATGTTTCAATTTTCAATTAATGACCACTAGTCGGTTACCAACAGGATGTTGCCGATAACCCATCTCACTCGAGTGCTTATGAAAATGGAAACCCGTAAATGCCTTACATGAACCTTACCTTTTTGCAATGTGTCGAGTACTTCTATGGTTCAAAACCTTATTGTTGCATGCAAAAAGAGCTTAGCTCCTTATAAAGAAGTAGATTAATATCATCCATCAACAAAAATACTTCTTGGTAATCTATATCATTATATTCACCAACATTTGTAACATCATTTGTACCAACATATGTATCATTATCTTTGCCAAGATTATTGGCACGTGTATGAACAATATTGTCATATGTAGCAACATCATCGTCACAATCACATTTATACGTTTTTAGAGCGACATAATCAATTGGTTATTGTTCTCGTGTTTCATATATAACATATACAACAATTTGTGGTTGGAGCGGATCATCATAATAAATTTGTGGTTGTACTGGTGTTTCATATATAACATATCCAAGAGGACGTTGAGGAACACTTTGAGAAATAAAAATAACTGCTTGATTGTTCTGAGAGCATTTTCTGCTAAGTCAGTTCCTACCAACAATTGATCGATTCGTTGCATTGTATTGAACAGTAAAAACCATTACTTTGTTTTATGGATGCTAAATTTCACAATACAGGTGACAGGTAAATACAATATTTTATCAAAAATCCTGCAATATCTTTGAAATCAAATGACATATGAGCACGTCCGACTCTGAGCCGGTGCGAGGTGTGCAACCGCACAAGGCCCCGAAAAAAATTAAGACCCGAAATTTGACTAATTATATAATTAATATATTAATATATCACCTTTTGTAAATATTTTCGAAGCCTGCTTATAGTTATGTCGGGTAAAATTCTCCGCTCATTTTGCTCCCTTTAGTTATATGACCGAGGTTTGATTCCCACCCCGTGCACCTGCTTCATTTATTTCTATTAACCGTTTTATCATATTATATAGGGAAAACTATAATAACGTCCTTACATATTGACTTCATAATCGATTTAGTCCCTAAATTTTTTATTCAATTAAATCCCAAAAACCGGTAATCGTGTTTAATTTAACCCTTTTACCCGGTCAACATGTATTTTACAAAAAAATGTATACAAACACCTATTTTATTATATATACATTTGTATACAAACACGTATTTATAAACAAACACATATTTCATACTAACGTGTGTGTATATATATATATATATACATATATATATATATATATATATATATATATATATATATATATATATATATATATATGCACACAAATAATATATTTTCTTTTTATAAAATCATGAATAAGTTTACTATGAAATAGATGTTTGTATACATTTTTTTTTATAATTACATGTTTCATACAAATGTATTTATAATAAAATAGGTGTTTGTATATATATATATATATATATATATATATATATATATATATATATATATAGTAAAATACATGTTTGTATACATTTTTTTATAAAAAATAGATTTGTATATATTTATATACTTAATAAATACCTATTTTTATAAATAAATATTTTGTATACAAAAAAGTTTTTAAAAAAAGTTTTATATAGAAAATATAAGATTTTTTATGTGAAAATATGTTTTTTTTTTGTATAAATATGATTTTGTAAAGAAAAGACATATTTGAAACAATATTTTGAGAAAAGAAGTTGTAAAAAAAAAAACTAAAGTTAGGATGAATTGATAACAAAATTCCAAAATTTGGACAAAAATGGTAAATTTTGGACAAATTTTGTAATAAAATTTAAAATCTGTTGTAAAAGTATAAATTTTGGACCAAATATGTAATATATTTTGAAATCTGGACGAAAAATGTAATTTTTTAAAATTGGATTACCTGTTGACAAGATAAAAAGATTAAATTAAATACGATTACCGGTTTATGAGACTGAATTGAATAAAAAAAGATATAAGGACTAAATCGATTATGAATTCAGTATGTAAGGAGTTTATGAGTAATAATTTTTCTAAGATGACATATGTGAAATCATAGATGTCATATGAGAAAATGAATTTCTCATATTTCCAACACAACTTTGTAGATGGAATAAAAAAATTTCGCATATGTCACAAGAAATCATCATTTACAATCGAAAGGCCTTCATTTTTCCACCTTAAATAGGTAACATGTTTTTACAAAGGGGTTGATTAAAAAGACATCCTATTTTTTCCATTTAGACACCTTTTTACAAATAACATTATAATTTCGTGGATGACATCAACATAATTGATGATTATTTTGATAAATTGCATGGTTTTTGTTTAAATATCAAAAAATAATAAATACAATTAGTCTTGATGTGTTTTTTTTTTCTATTTAAAATAACATATACAATTAACTTACCGTAAATCTTTTTTGAGGACAACTACTTCGTGTATAGATTATCATGTTTGTTTTTATTATAAATAAACAGTTACCTATTTTAAATAAATAAAATTATAAATACAATTTCGTTATTCCATTAGTTCGCATGATCCATCATATTAGGCACATTTTTTTTGACATATGACTATATGAGCAAGTTAACTTTTTATAAAACTTACAAACATGCCTACTTAAAATCTCTTAACTCCTTAACCATATTTAGTATTTACTATGCAAACAACTATTTTTATAGAAACTTTAAATTTATCTTTGTTCACCATCACTTATTCTTTCAACCATGCATAAATAACCTTGATTTGACCTTTAGTTATTATTTTTTTTTTTATTTTTTACAAATAATTAATATATTGTAAGAAGTTTTGAAAAAAAAATGTAAAAAAGTGAGGGAGGATAAGGAGAAGGAAGGTGGTGTTGTGTTGTCCGCCTGTTGGTTCATTGGAGGTCGAGCCCCTTCTTTCCTTCTCTCTCTCTCTCAAACGCACCAGTTGCATTCTGTACTATTTTTATACTTCCCACCTATCATCTTCACCTTTTTCTCTGCAACTCTGGTGTGCGTTTTTCTCACTAGTCAAAAAACCTCCAATGCTCAGATTCTTCCTCCATTCACAATTTCATTACCCATAATTTCCCAATTCCCAATTCAAACTATCAAAAATGAAACCAAATCACCCGCAAAAACCTATAATAGCCTGCCCTAACTCTACCTCCACCTCCACCTCTATCCGCGGCGGCGCTTCTTCGGCTACAACTGGACCTGCCCTTAACAGCTTTACCTCTGATGTGACTGGAAAAGGGAAGAACATGTGGGATGAGTTTGATGATCAAGATGCCGGCGTTGATGAGCTGTTGGCAGTGTTGGGATACAAAGTTAAGTCGTCTGATATGGTTGATGTTGCTCAGAAGATTGAGCATCTCGAAGGAGTTTTGGGGAACGATGATGGGCTGTCTCAAATTGCTTCCGATTCCGTTCATTATAATCCTTCTGATCTCTCGTCGTGGCTTGAATCCATGATTTGTGAGCTTAATCCCACAACTGAAGCACCAATGATTGACGATTCGTTTATGAACACCAGCTCAGCTAGCGCCGGCGCCGCTGCTCCCTCGGCGGGTTTAACATCTGTTTTTGTGGACGATCTGCAAGCGATACCCGGGAACGCGATTTATCCTCCGGCGAAAAAAGCAAAACATTCTCCTTCGTCTTCATCGGGTGCCACATCCGCCTCGTCTTCGTATAACTCGAAGCCTAATCCCAACTCGAATTCGGTGGTGCTTGTGGATTCACAAGAAAATGGGATCCGGCTTGTGCATACTTTAATGGCGTGCGCTGAAGCTATTCAACAAGAGAATCTCTCTCTCGCTGAAAATTTGGTTAAACAAGCCGGGATGTTGGCTGTGTCTCAAGCTGGCGCCATGAGGAAAGTCGCTACTTATTTCGCCGAGGCACTTGCCCGGCGAATTTACCGGTTAGCCCCACAGACAACGCAGGACTCTCCGGCGTTTCAAGATCTCCTACAGATGCATTTTTACGAGACGTGTCCGTACCTCAAATTCGCACACTTCACGGCGAATCAAGCAATATTAGAAGCTTTCGCAGGGAAGAAGAAAGTTCATGTGATTGATTTCAGTATGAAACAAGGGATGCAGTGGCCGGCGTTGATGCAAGCTTTGGCTCTAAGACCCGGTGGTCCTCCAACGTTCCGCTTAACCGGAATCGGGCCTCCCTCCGGTGACAATACCGATCATTTGCAGGAAGTGGGTTGGAAATTGGCTCAATTAGCTGATACAATCCACGTTGAGTTTGAATACAGGGGATTCGTCGCGGAGAGCTTGGCGGATCTTGAACCGGCGATGCTTGATTTAAGAGACGACGAGGTGGTCGCCGTTAACTCGGTTTTTGAGCTTCATCAACTGTTAGCTAGACCAGGGGCGGTCGAGAAGGTTCTATCGGCGGTTAAGGAAATGAAACCGGTGATTTTAACGGTGGTGGAGCAGGAAGCTAATCATAACGGGTTGGTTTTTCTGGAGAGGTTTACCGAGTCATTACATTATTACTCAACCCTGTTTGACTCGCTTGAGAGCAGTGGCACCGGCGGCGGAGGCGTTGAAGGCGGTGCTATTTCTCCGGCGAGCAACCAAGATAAAATCATGTCGGAAGTGTATCTTGGAAAGCAGATCTGTAACGTGGTTGCATGCGAAGGACCAGACCGAGTCGAAAGGCACGAAACATTGACTCAGTGGAAGGCTCGACTCGACTCATCCGGTTTTGAAGCGGTTCATCTCGGCTCCAACGCGTTCAAGCAAGCCAGCATGTTGTTGGCTCTATTCGCCGGCGGCGACGGCTACCGAGTTGAAGAAAACAACGGTTGTTTGATGCTGGGTTGGCACACTAGACCACTAATCACCACCTCCGCTTGGAAGCTCCGGTGAACTCGACCAAGTCAACTCGGAGATGGCGTGCTAACTCAGTACCTGCAAATCTTTAAAGAAATAAAGAAATTCTCAGATGGCCCACCTTTTGATTTTTCTTTTTAGTTTTCACCAAAGGCGTTCTTAAGTTTTAATCTTTTTTTTATATCTTTTTTCAGTTTTTGAAAATTGAGGGGTTAAATTGGCAATTAGTTGAAGTTTGAGGGTTGGGAGTAGAACCTTGTACTTTTCCGAGGGGTTGAACGAGATAGGATGAAAATGATACTTCAAAAGATAACTTTCATTCAATCTCCTCCATAATAAAAAAAAAGTTACTTTTTGGTGGGGTTGTGCATGTGATGTAAAAAAAGGATCAAAATTGGAGTTTGTGGGATCTAAAGAAATAATCAATTGAATTATGTGTACTTTCGTATGTATAGTATCTTAATATTTAAAACGATGTTATTTTAATAATTTTGTTAATATCCTTGATTTTATAATTTATAATAATGAATAGTATTAAAATACATATGATTATGAATAAAACGCACAACGAATATGAAATGAATAGGAATTTAGCACACAAAAAGCAAGTTATTGATATTTAATAACGATTGTTATTTACTAAAGAAATAAATATATTTTAAATTTTACTTGACTGGAGAATGTTATAATTTTCAGCAATCTTTAAAAATATTGGAATGTTTATAGTTTGAGAAAGAAGGAATATAATTTTGGGTATATGAACTGCAAAATCCTTCCTAATAAATAAAGAACTTTTTGCCACTTGTCAATTTCTTATGTATTTGGACAGATGTAATTTTATGGTTAATTCTTAGAAATTAATTTTCACTTGTCATTTTGTGATAATTTTTGATTTTCTTAATTAACTATCTAATTTTTAGGTTATAGAAAGTAATTAATGTGTCATTAATTTGTTTCCCTATATTTTCAAATTTTAATATGTTTCCTTCAATATATATAATTCAAAATTGACATGTTTTTTTAAGTTCATTGTAATTTTAGGTAAATGATCTATTTAAAAAAAATAATCATACTTTATTGTTTTTTATTGATATTTAATGTTTTCTTTAAAAAAATATATTTAAACTTTATATTTTCATATATAAATTTTTTAAACAACCCGTATAGTACACGGGATTCACACCTAGTATTGTAATATAATTATATTGGATATGATCAATGTATGTGTATAAAAAATAGCGTTATTATATTAAAGAAATTATTTGGTGCACTTCGATGAATTAATTTATATGGATTTTGTTTTATGGGCAGAATAAACTGTATATAACCACAGAAAAGAAATTAGTATGTTTTTTAGAGATAATATATAAATAACTCATATTATTTACAACTAATTTACTGCAAAATGTTTTTAAAATATGCTGATAATGTTCTTATGACGTGTCAAATAATGAGTAAAATATTTCGGACTTTCGGTAGAGTCAATTACAGATTTGGTCCATGTTGTTTACACTTATATACATTTTAATCTAATCATTTAATTTTTGGCATTGCTCCTCTTTGTGGTTTCTGAAAGTTTCATGTATGGTCTTTTTGATTGTTACCTGTAACACCTTGTTTCGGGTCGTTTCTTAATTCGGGGTTGTGATCCGAAGTTCGATTATCATAAGGTTTTGGCATTTGAGAAAAGAAAGGTTTAGACCTTATTAGAAGTTGATAATGTTGTTTGCGAAGCCCAAACCCTTTCATTCGTGTGTTGGACCGAAAGGTTGAAAGGGGAAAAATTATAAACTGGGTTTCTTGCCACGGTTAAGGTGTTAAATCAATTTGTGATAAGTCAAAATCAAATAGATAGAATTCTGGGGCTTTTCAATACCTTTCCGTGCATATAAGGAATGCCAAAAACGGAGTGGGGGCGAAGAAGTTATGGCCGTTGGAAGATAAGAGGGAAATGAGAATTTTGACTGTACGTTGGGCGTACATCATTAAAAAGACGTAGCCATCCTTGAGTACGTTGGGCGTACTCACGCAACTCCCAAACCCTAATTTTTAGGGTTTGGACCTTATTTAAAGAAACATGAGCCTTGAGACCCCCTTACTTTCAACCTCCATTCTCCCAAATCGTCCCTTGCAAACCCTAATCCATTATGTGAGCCTTATTAAACTTGAGAGTGTATTTTTGTGCTTTTGAAGGAAGAAGGAAGTGAAATCATCTTGGAAGCTCAAGGCAACTTAGATCCAGAAGTATCTCACCCTCAAGCATCCCTTGAAGGTATAAAGTTTGGAACTTGATGAATGTTTTCCTTGGATCTTGCTAGTTCTTAAGTTTTTATGCATTTTGGTCCCAAAATCTTGGTGTTCATTAGTATGGCTTACTCTAAACCGTAAGAGTTGTCATTTAGACGTTTTTCAGTGTTAGGAATCATAAAAATGTGGTATTGGTCCCTTTCTTCCCTCCATGCAAGAGTTACGGTGCTAGAGTTTGTGTTTTGAGTTAGGGTTTTGATTTTTGGACCACTACTAGTCATGGAAAATCATAAAGTTGGAAACTTTATGACTTAGACTGATATTTGGGACTAGATATGAGCTTTGGACGTGGTATCTTAATTGAATAAGTACTTAATAAATGAAAATGAGATTGGTCGAGAACGTTGGGCGTACCTAGTGGTATGTTGAGCGTACCTGACTAGAGCCCCGTAATCAAGAAAGGATTAACTATGCTAAGCGTAGTGACTGAGTATGTTGAGTGTACTCAATCTGTGATGATCTCCTTTGACTTTTTGACTTTTTGACCTTGACTTTGACTAAGTTTGACTTAGGGCATTTTGGGTAATTTGAGCAATAGTTTGAGATTAGGTCACTGTTTGTTGTATAGGTGACCTGTAGAGTTGGCATTTGGAGCAACATTCGTTTCTGCTATCTTTCAGACTGTGAGGTGAGTTTTCCTCATTGTACTTGTGGGTCAAAGGCACCAATGCCGATTCACTAGGTTATGTATCCTGGTATATAGGATGACGTTATGCTGGTTATAGATAGATTGGTAGATTTGTATGATTACCTGTATTTTCTGGATATGTGTTTATGTTTATCTGTTATATATGTCGACATATTGTTGTTGGGTTGAGGCAGTCATGCTTTGTGCTGAAGGCCAAGATACTTGGGGCGGTCCGGATAGACTTTAGGCCCTGTGAGGCGGTCTAATCAGGCTGAAGGCCCGGAGAGCGGTCTAGATAGGCTATAGTCCCTTCGAGGTGGTCCAGTCAGGCTGAAGGCTCATATATGCATGTTGTTATTTGTATGGTTGTGCGTGGTACTTTAGGGGAACTCACTAAGCTTTGTCTTACAGTTTGATTGTTATGGTTTCAGGTACTTCAAAGGACAGGGGCAAGACGAAGGGTTGATCGTGCATACCCTTCAGATTTTATGAGATTATGATTTTGGGATACTCTGATTTATGATTATGACTTTTGGAAACTATGTTTTGTAAACATTTATGGTTATTTGAATGGTTTAAAAATGAAAATTTTACCTTGAATTTTTGGGATGTTACAAGTTGGTATCAGAGCCTTGGTTTGAGAGAATTGGATGAACATTCGTTTGAATCCAAACTCAAACTAAGGATCAACAAATGTTTTCAAATTATTTTAAAATTTGATTTCAAAAGTAACCAAGGAAGGATGAGACATGTACGATCATCCGGAGCAAGAAAGTGTTCCCCAAGATACCCACACCGTTATTTACTTACGATGATTATGATAGAATTGCATGCTAGTTGTAGGTTAGGGATCTTCAGGAATTGCGTGATAGAATTGCCTGAATTATAATTGTAACGACCCAAAAATCAAGGGAAAAAATTTCATTTTTAATATAGCTAAAACATTGATACCAATTTTTTCAAACATTTCAAATCCTCATTGAGTAAAACATTTATCAGAGTCCGTCCCAAAATCATTCATTGCGGAAATCATAGGTATGTGCACTGCGATCAATCCGAGCCCTTCCTTTCCAAAATGATGATACCTGAAACGATAAACAAACCTGTAAGCATGAAGCTTAGTGAGTTTCCCAGAGCATACCACACACACAATCCACATATCATGTTAGCTATAAAAGCTACCTCTACCACATAGCACATATCGATTAGCTATAAAAGCTACCTCTACTACATATCACATAACAATTAGCTATAAAAGCTACCTCTACCACATATCACATATCAAACAGCTATCAAAGCTATCTCTACCATTAGCCACAACGACTATCTCTACACTTAGCCATAATGGCTATCTCTACCCTTAGCCCTGAAGGCTATCTCTACCATTAGCCATAAAGGCTCTCTCTACCATTAGCCCTGAAGGCTATCTCTATCATTAGCCCTGAAGGCTACCTCTACCATTAGCTGCAAAAGCTATCTCTACCACATAACACTTCATAAATATGCCACACACCTCTACACAGCAAGTAAACCAACTATCATAAAAATGGGCTGGCCTTGGTGCCTTAGACCGATTGGTATGGTGAGGAGACTCACCTCTCGAATGCTGAAATGGTAAGCGAAGTCAAATATATCCCACACGCTGCTCCTTCTCAACTGCCTATAATCATCAAGTGATTATCTTAACACCATCCCATAGATACTCTCAGATCAACCCTGGCCAAGGTCAAGGTCAAAGTCAACAGTCAAGGTCAACAGTCCATGTTGACCTCGACTCGTCGAGTTCCTTGCTTAACTCGTCAACTCGCCGAGTCACTTGAGTGACTCGTCGAGTTCCTTAATGTTCGCGGCTTCAAACTCTCAACCGCAAACCCCTGGCCGTAAACTCCTTGGCCGTAAACTCCTTGGCCGACTCGTCGAGCCGATTAAAGGACTCGACGAGTTCCTTTAGTCTTTCTCGTTTTCGGCCTTTTCCAGTGGGATCTAGAGTCCCAAACTTCAGATCTAGCCTTCCCTAGGGTATATGTCATGTAAAGTTGCAAACTTTACGTGCATGCAAGGCCTCACATGGCCATAACACCAAAACTAGTCTACATACAAG